TCACTTGAAGCTGACAAGCGAATGGTTTGGCACAAGAGTGTGGGAAAACTAAGCATCATCAGCAGGGTGGGCTATCAAGTGAACCTGTTCATTTTACCTGAATTTGAAAAACTGCACAGCAGACTGTAACAATAGTAAGCAATGAGGGAGATATAAACGTAAAATCCTGGTACCATTTTGAATCCTCATCAAAAAACATTTATAAAAAGCAATAGAAGAATATGATCAACAAATAACCACCAAGAGCCACAACACTCCTTTCAGGTATTTTCCATGTATTAAGTTCCCTAAATATTATAATACACTGGGCATTATTTAGCAGAAGCAGTAGTAGAGGGTGTGACATCATCGCATGTATGGTATTTGTTACAGGGGATGTGGTCAGGTAACTGCAAATAAAACAGAACTGAGATTTCTGCAGTGACAATAAGCGTTTCTTTAAAGTATAATTTTAAAGTAAACCTTTCCATTGGAAAAAGTATAAACTAGCCATAGCAATTTAAAGTGGCCTCTTTGTAGGCTCAAGCACCCTAGGAGCTACATAATCCAAAAGGAGTTGACAGAACAAATCCATTCCACGTTATATTGACGTGATCTTACACAAACAGCTAAAGTAGATTTGCCATTCTCTTGATAGTGATCATTTGTATAATTGAACAATGTAGGGACAATGCAGGGTTTCATAATATCTTGATTGATCAATGGTAGCTTAATTACAGTATAGTTCATGCCTCAGAGGTCACTACTTTGGGAATGGGCTATGGCACATCTGAATTTCTATGTTTTTTCTTTTTTAGTACAGCACCCCATCAAAAACCGTTCACGAATGGCTAGTTTAGCTACATTCAATTCCGGCCTGACGACTTCAACAACTATACATTGCATGAATGTTATATTATAAAATGAAAGGAACAGCATGTTTCTGCGTAGTTCTAAGGCCTCAGATCATGAGTTATTCCAATTCAAAAGCAACATGAAAATACAGCTGATAGTAATGAAGTTATCTCAGAGCGTGCCGAGCATAAAAACTGTAAAATGTTTTTTTCTGTCAGCTTCCGAGACTTTCAGAGCAGCACATAACAGAAACATGCTTACATCATGCGCACGGTTTCAATTATTTCCTGGAAATGCACCTTTTCAGGGAAGGATGATCATACTTGCTTATTTACTTCCTGTAGCCCTACAAACATCCGGGTTATTACAGAGCCAGTTGATGAATTCATATGACTGCTATCAGTCTGACTCTGTAGGGTTATCTACTGACCAAGCAAACAGGTTTCAGTAAGAAATGGCTAATAAAAAAAGCTGGCTGTGCAATCTCCTTTAGATGTGCCGACAACTATCGTTTTTTAGCACGTTTTTTCGTTCAGTGAAACGCGTGTTTCACTGGCGGTATGATTTTTTCCCCCCCTTATTTTCTCTATTTAAAAAAAAAATGTTTAGTTTTTTTCCACTTTCAAACTTCCCGCCGGCTCCGCCCCCCTGCGACGCGGCCGCTCGCAAGGGACGGAACCCGGAAGTCGGCAGCCGCCAAAGGATCCTAATACACCCAGGTGGGAACCATGCCCATAGGAAAGTATGGGATTTCACTTGCTGGGCGTTTTACAGCACGTCGACCAGCGCTGTAAAACGCCCAGGTTTGAACCAGGCCTTAGGGTTAGTTCACATCAAGTGCGTTCCAGGAGCAGAGCAGTTACAGAACGGATCAAAACTGCGTCCAATGTATTCTAATTGTATTTTGGCCTCTAGTTCACACCGCAGCGTTCAGTTACAGAGCATGTAAAAAAACTGCAGCAAGCCCTATGCAAACGCATCACAAACGCATGAAAACGCCCTGGAACGCATTGAAAGCCCACTTTTACAAAAATGGACCGGACTGCGGCAAAAACGCAGAAAAACACACTGCACTGCGTGTGCAGAAACCGATGCAGATCTGGTCCGCATTTGTTGTGAACAAGGTCTAAGAGCATTACAGGCAGCCCCCGGGTTACGAACAAGATAGGGACTGTAGGTTCGTTCTTAAGTTGAATTTGTATGCAAGTTGAACAGATAAATGTTTAAGTGCAACTCCAGCCCAACATTTTTTTTTAGGTTTGGATAACATAGGGTACTAGGAACCAGACCCAAAAAGGCAGGCAGTCCTTGTCGGCACGAGCACGGTAGCTTTACAACTACTGAAATGCGCGGTACACTTTGGCTGCAGCCTGGGACCCCCTGCTGTACAGTAATAGCCTCCGTTTCTAAGTAGGGGTTGTATGTAAGTCGGATGTAACTCGGGGACTGCCTGTATTATACTGTCAAATCCTTTAAAAGTGCAAAGAAAAAGCCAAGTTCTGACTTCTTCAGATAATTTCCTTTAATGCCACTATTTTACAGACTATTTGAACATTTTCAACTATAAAAATCACTTGTTTGACCTGTACACCTAACGGCAGACCTCCAGCTGTGGTGAAGCTAAAAATCCCATCATGGCTCAGCCTCTAGGAGTTATGCCTTTGCCTCTGGGAGCCATGCCTCATGGGACTTGTAATTCCATGACAGCTGGAGGGCCAAAGTTTGGCTACCCCTGCTGTAGACTATACAATAACCAAAGAAAATGCCTCGATCAGTCTGGTCACATGCAAAAATAACAGTTATTCTAATAAGGGCAATTTTTTTCACTATACAGTAAAGTCAAACCTGGTTCCTGTATATTACAAACTGAAAGGACCAGGATATCCTTTTGTTATTTTCAAAAAGGTGTGCGGACATTTCTCAAAAAAGCAACCAGATTGAGCTCTGTGTTACAGATGCGTAGATTACATTTTACACATTCAGTGTCGGATCAGGTTTTGCTGGATGAACCAGTCTTTTTTTCCAAACTTCTTTTCTCCAAGGTCTCCAGGATAAAAGGATGAGCGGCAAATAAAGGGCAGGGTGTAGAATTTCAGCACAAGGAGGGGTGACAGGGGAAAACACACAACCAAGGCACAATAGCCAATGCAAGAGGGTTGGTGAAAGTTATAAAAGGGGCTGAATGGAGTGGGCAGATTTCAGTGTGGGAAAACTTTCCAGCTGAGTGTAGCGAGCACGTTAAACCATGTGTTACTGATCTTGCTGCATACAGAGTTAAGTGTAACTTGCAAATGTTTATCAGGGCCTCCAAGACATTTCTTACACATTCATTAGCGCTGCATTCAATTTAACTCCTTCCTGCTGGAAGAGCCCACATCACACTACAAAGTAAGGAACACTGGTCGGGACAGACAAAAGGCCATGTAATCACTAGTATGCTAATGAAGGACAAATACATGTAAGGAAGATGTGGAAGCAGCTTAGAGCCAGGCTTCTAGATGGGAGGTTACTGAATTAGCATTTTTTTTTTTCAAACATGACCTAAGTTCAACAAAATAAATGGTGACTGACATTTCTTCTTACCAAAGACACTCTGTCATAGAAGTATGCTTTAATAAAGCCTGTGATGGATAACGTAGTTAGCTTTCATAAACATAAAAAACCTCTAGTGATAATAACATTGTTACAAAAACTGAGAAGCCAACTACTGACTACTAACATTGGAAAATACCATTTGTTCTCGGGGTATGCAGCTGCTTTGTAAGCAAGCTACTTCTCTCACTCCTAGAAGTGTTACATCAAACCACAGCAACAAGAAAGGGACAAGTAAAAGCAGTAACAAGAAAGGAACCAGTAAAAGCAAACAGACTTGGAATTTACTGAATTACTTGACACTGTCTAAACTCAATGAAAAGAAAAAAAAAAAGTGTTCCATGAATCATCTACAACACTTTCAAACAAACAAAAATGTTAAGGTCCTTTTGGAGTGATCTAAAAATTGCATTTCTCTGTAATCAGAATAATCCACGTTTAAGAAAACAGGTCACTTTAAAAGCAGATTATCTCACCATGACGCAATCCTGAGATATGATGTGATTTAGATAGCTCAGATAACAATAAACACGTGTGCCAAAAGATTCTGTATGCTTTGAATCTGCAGGTTGCAGTCAGCAATATTCATTAGTTTGAATGAAACTTAAAGTAGCATTAAACCCTGATTGTAACATTGCTCTTTACATTAAGCTTCACCCAACTAGTAGCTAAAAAAAGGGTTATTTTGTTTCTGGCCCCCCAAAGTTTTACTTTTCAGTTGCTATCATTTTGTCTTTCCGGTAGCCCTCTGATTAGTGCTTCCCCGAACTTCCAGTTGGGGAGCACACCATGAGCACAGAGGAGATCTAATTCTTTGGGACTATATGTCCCATGATTCCTTGTATGTTTCCCGCACTGTACATGCATCAGCTGAACACAGCACCAGCGCGCTAGCAGCCCATACTACGCATGCGTTAACCACACACAGTACTGCTAGCGGCCTATACTGCGCATGCATCGGCCAAACGCAGCGCCAAGTGGTATATGCAAGTTCAGTCCCGGGGAGACCCTGCAAGGCAAAGTAGCCACCCTATAGGCTAAAACCCTTTACACCAGACTCTCAATGATTGATTATGCTGTAAAGACTGCACACAAAAAGGCGACAGGAAACAATGGTGATGTAAGGTATGCAGCTACACATTCTTTTTTTCATGGAGGGTCTAATAACACTTTAAAGGCTGTAGCGAAGATGTAATTAGTTGTCAACAGTAAAAAATGCCCTCATGTAGTTTACCTTTCACACTATATCATAACATAAAAGTTATGCAAGTACTTTGTATCATAACATAAAAGCAGCAAATGTAAACTACCTAGAGAGTGTGTCTTATGTCTCCAGATCTATGACTTACTCCAACTCACTTCCTGAAAAACACATCTGCTAAGGTACCAACACAAATATTATTATAACAGTCGCTGAATTCAACGAGGGGGCAACAGCGGCAATTTTCCAACGATAAAACCAAAGAGCGACTGTCCGAATGAATCAAACTCATACAGTTTGTGTACATAGGTCTATTTATATGCCACAAATAGCACAAATGCGTCAACAGAGCTACAACAGTTGTCATTAATACCTGATATCCAGCTGTCCAGCTGTTCATTCAGCTTCCTCTAAGCTCGGCAAACAGGGCTTAAATGAAACGTAAAAACCAGGAAATAAAAACCTTCGCTTATCTCAGAGGATGAAAAAGACCCACATGCTTCTTAGTATAATCCATCCAGCACCCCCAGACGCAGTCCCTAATATCCCACAAGTTTCCTTCAAAGGAGCAACTGGGGGCTGGGCTGGGAGCTAGCAAATCCTTTTCAGAAGTGTTTTCTCTGCTGAGGGCTGAGCACGCTGAATTAGAAGGGAGGCTCTGCTGAAGCAGTGTATTTCCCTTCATAATAGCCTTGACTGTCTGTGTGCTGGAGGATGTGGGGGAGGGCTTTCTGAAAAGAAGGCCTGCTCCATTTCAGACCCTACTGCCAATCAAAAGGCTTGGTACTCCTGGCAACACAAACTGCACATACAATCAGTGAACATACTTGATGCTACTACCTAGGCAGCAGCAGTATGACTCTGTTGGCTACTTTGTAGTAGCAGCTGAAGGAAGTGCTGATTACACTTCTCATGATAAACCTGGAACTGAACGGCATCCTTAAAAAAAAAAACACGCTGCTTTAATACGCTTAAGATGTTACCAGGTTGGATCCTGTGTGCATGTGGCACACATGGTAACATACATAGGTGTGCGCAGCCTATTGCATTAGGGTGTGCACATTGCCCCCCCAAAAAAAAATCGGGGGGCACGCTACGCCCCTGATGATCACAGTTACAATGCTCTGTGGGCTCAAATGCAAACATTTGTTAATTCATGGGCAACTACTTTTTGTAAAATCGCGTCTATGCCTTTAATTTCATCATTAATAAGTCTTTCACAGAATGTCCCTTTCGACTGATAATTTGTATTCAGTGGCAGATTACAAGTGTTCGCCTAGAGCCCAGTGGCCCCATCATTAGCCTCTCCAAGCAACAGTACACAGGGCAGCCATCAGAAATTTTGGGGCCACTTACACACGGCTTTAGGCCGGGCGCCCCCCGCACCACACCGCCGCCACACGCACCACACGCCGATGAATGCAGTGCTGTACAGGGAACACTGAGCCAGTCACATCAGTCTCTGTACAGAGGAGCTTACACTCTAATGTCCTGGACCTACGGATAAGTGACGCGCTGGACACTAGACATGTGCACTGGCAAAAAAATTGTTTAGTTTCATTTTGTTTTGATTCGAATTTTGCGTTATTTAGTTTTTCAGGATTCGGGTCCGAAAGTCAATTTGTTTTGGGATTTGGACGAAATTCGTTAGCGGTAGTCTGTGCGAATGTTCATTTCCGTTTCATGTTCGTATCGTTCGTTTCATTTCATTGTTTTTTTTTAAATGTCACTTTGCTGCAATGAAAATTCGTTCACAAACAAAAACGCGTACAGACTACCGCTAACGAATTTCGTCCGAAAAACTAATTTTTCCGAAACGAATCGCACATGTCTACTGGACGCAGGGCTTAGGGTTAGTTCACATCGTAAGCAGTGGATTCAGGGCTTTGTGACCCGCTGGACTCACGGATAAGTGACGCGCTGGACACTAGACATGTACACTGGCAAAAAAATTGTTTAGTTTCATTTTGTTTTGATTCGGATTTTGCGTTATTTGTTTCGGGATTTGGACTAAATTCGTTAGCGGTAGTCTGTGCGAATGTTCATTTCCGTTTCATGTTCGTATCGTTCGTTTCATTTCATTGTTTTTTTTTAAATGTCACTTTGCTGCAATGAAAATTCGTGCACAAACAAAAATGCGTACAACGAATTTCGACCGAAAAACTAATTTTTCAAAAACGAATCGCACATGTCTACTGGACGCAGGGCTTAGGGTTAGTTCACATCGTAAGCAGTGCTTTCCGGTCCGATTCTCGTCGGAACGCACTGCCCGCATTGCGGCCGGCTCACTTTTTTGCCAGGCTGGAGGGGGCGTGGCGGGCCATTGAAGTGAATGGCACCACAGGCACGCCCTCCGGCCGCCATGCGATCGCCCGCACGGGATCACAAGGCACATTGTGCCTGCAGTGCTTTCGGGTGCAGTGCAAGCGATCGCATTGCGGCCGGAGGGTGTGGCTACGGTGCCATTCACTTCAATGGCCCGTCACGCCCCCTCCAGCCCGGCAAATAAGTGAGAGGCAACCACTGGACAGAGGAATTGGGTCGGTGGTTTTACCCCCATCCCCGCTTGGTGTAGAAATCTCTATCTCTCTTTAGTTGCCACATTAAGGTGGTAAGTGCCGGGTGACTATTGGGGGTGGGGCTTCCTCTCTGCTTGTTTTGACTGTGATGTTTTCTCATATCATACATAAGTTCTCTATGGATATGTTGTATTGCCTAGAATTAATTTTGTGTACAACTTTTATTGCTAGATTAATCCATGATCCCCTGACGAAGCAATATGTGAAACACTTTGGGACTGGATATAACACTCTCCATTCGCACATAAATGTGGTATCAATAATGTTACTTGAATTATGGGAATGTGATTTATGTTAATGGTTATATTCATGATTTTATACTATTTATTCAGTGTGTAATAAACTTTATATTCTTACTAAAATGTATCCATGCAGTGATTGTATACCTCTCCGAAAACCCGTTTTCTGCTTGTTGCAAATGATATAAACTTAAGGGGGAGAGGTTGCATCAGGAGACCGCTGGGAGAACGATCCACGGTTGTGCTTTTATTAATAAGTGAGCGGGCAGTGAGTTCCGGCCAGAATCGGACCGAATGCACTGCTTATGGTGTGAACTAAACCTTAGTGATGCGCTGGACTCTGGGGTTAGTGACCTGCTGCACTCTGGGCTTAGTGACGTGCTGGACGCAGGGCTTAATGACCCGCTGGACACAGGGCTTAGTGACCCGCTGGACGCAGGGCTTAATGACCCGCTGGACGCAGGGCTTCGTGACCCACTGGACGCAGGGCTTCGTGACCCGCTGACGCAGGGCTTAGTGACCCTCTGGACACAGGGCTTAGTGACGCGCTGGAAGCAGGGTTTAGTGACGCGCTCGACTCAGGGCTTAGTGACACGCTGGATGCAGGGCTTAGGGAAGTGCTGGACGCAGGACCCACCGACACACTGGACACAGGACCCACCTGAGAGTGATCGTGACGTCACTTCCGGCCAGTCCGGCTTCAAACGAGCAGCGTCGCTGATGGGGCCCCAGTCTGTCTCGAAGCCGCTGGAGCGGCAATGCTGGGGCCCTGCACTGCTAGTGCCCTGCACTGCTGGGGCTAGACCTCCGCCGCTGCTGCTGCGGGGGCCCAGCCGCCTCCTCGCCCTTCACTGTCGGCCGACACCCATGTAAGGGTCCGGGGCGGGCCCCCAGGCGGCCCGGGCCCCTTACTTGAGTATCGGCCGTACCCCCCCTGACGGCGGCCCTGCCAGTACACCTGGTACTGACAAGCTGTGTGCTCGGTGCCGTTATGTGACCGCAGAGGAAAAACCATAGCACTTAGATGTAAACCAGCCCTACAGAAAAGAATGGTAGTTCTACTTGAAATGCCAGAGTTTTGCTGCATCAAACCAGACACGTGTGAATAGGCCATTAATGTAACGTGGGTTTTTGTCAGCTCATTTCACCTAGCGAAGAATAGCTGCCTTCACATTACATGTATAAACATTTATATTACAATATCTTTTGTGTTGTAGGTCCATGTATAAGTCTTAAAGAAGAACTCCACGGAAACATTTTCTTAACCCTTGCAGTGGGGCTGCACTGCATTGCAAAGATTGAGTGCTTGGTTTGTTCTAGGCGCAAAAAAGTTATAGGAGGAGGGAGGCTTGTATTCATTTCTATATACATATACAGGTATTAGTAAATGGACACTGTCTATTAGAGACACTAAGTGTCAATGATACAAAAAATTATAGGCGAATTCAACTTTTCTGAACATGTTTCCTTTTACACCCATATTTAGGGTATAACATAAAACATGCTGACAGTCCACAGCCCCCCAATTTTAAACCATGCCCCCCTTCCCTGCATTGTGAGATCCTTCTCCTAGCAGTCTCTTGTATTTTTTTTTAATTCAGTGCAGGTGTGCTTGGTGATGCCACCACGTCACATCATCTATTTACAGATCCATTCACAAAGATCTCTGAATGGCAGCCTACAGGTCCCATCGGTCTTGTAGACCTCAATGGAGCACAAGTGCAGCGAGGTCATAGCACTTGTAGTCCACTGTTTATTTATATTCCTAAAAACCTATCCCCACTTCCTGTTTCTGGTCACATACAAGCCTCTCCGCAACGGAAGTCTTGATAGACTTCCCTTGGTCTAAGATGCCCTGCTGGTCTGTGGTCTGAACACACTGAGCACCTGGCCAGTACATTGCTCAGCCCGGTTAACTTACAGCTACAGAATGGAAGTTAGCACACAGGGAACAGGGCAATCTCTCTCCTGCTGGTCTGTTGAAACTGGTTTAAAAGGTCCCTGATTTGCATACTACTGACTGTCGTCCCAGAGCAGGGTATCTCAACCTTCTTTTCGGTGATAGCACCATTTAAAAGTATGCAAAATCTCAAGTCACCACAGTATGAAATGTAAAAATTTAAATGTAAAAAAGTGTGACCCCTCCTAAATCCATACCAAACCCTTAACCTAGACAGGGTTCTGATATAGATTTTTAAAGGGGAACACCATGCAAAAGCACATAAAAGTGGGGCCCACTTCTTTCATATTAGGAGACTCAGTCCCCCCTTCACATCAGGGTCCTACTATCACATCAGGAACCACAGCTGCTGCTACATGGGAGACGGAGTGAGGCAGAGCAAGCCTGGATAAAGGCAAACTCCTGTCCTTTTGTAAATGGATTCCACCCTCCCTGGATTAGCATAATTCATTTCATGGTGCTGGCGGCCAACCTGCCTCTACTATCTGAAGACATGATGTTGTGCAAAAATTTCAAGGCACCCCTGAGGAAGCCAGGAGGCACCCCAGGGTGCCACGGCACCAATGATGCCAGACATTTTTCTTCCACTGACCAACAATTCAGGGTATTATTTTACCCATGGACCAATGCAGCAGGGGCGCTTTTACCCCCGCTGGCCAGTAATGCCAGGCATTTTCTTCCCACTGACTAATGATGCCAGGTATGTCTTTTCACTGACTAACAATTCAGGACATTATTTTTACCACTGACCAATGAAGCTGGGTGATTCTCCTCCTGCTGGGCAGTAATGCCACGCATTTGCCTCCCACTGACGCCAGAGCCATTTTCCTTCCACTAATATCAAAGCATATTTACTTCCCAGTGACCGATAAAGCCAGGCATTTTGTTCCCACTTACCCATAATGCTG